GAGCACTTTTTTGACTTTTCAAGCGCAGTACCGGACTCAGCCGGTTCAGAAGACCATGTAGTCGTGGAAAGCGCAGTCGCAATTTTCCCGAGGCACTGCCTTTTATTGTTCTTCAAACCTTTTGACCATGTAATTATTTGTGAAAGACGGGTTGCTGTAATCGAATACACTTCAGAAAGTCTCGTCCCTGGGGCTGGAGCTTTCGAGGTTGCAGCTTACTGCATGCTCAAGAAAGAGATGGAATCTCTGAAAGGACGAGTCAAGCTTGGAGCACTGGTGATTAGAGCGAGAAATCTCGTCCAGTTCATTGAAAAATTGGTGATTTACGTATTGTTGATTTTAGGCCTACGCCAATGCTTTGCTGGTCATTCCAAAAACTCTTGCTATGAACTCTGGTTATGATGCACAAGAAACGATTGTGAAGTTAGTAGAAGAGCGAGAGGCTAATCCAGAGATTCCTGTAGGAATCGATCTCGATAGTGGTGAAGCTGCTCAGCCTGTGGTTAGTTTGCAAAGATACGACCTTAAAAGTTTGAAAAGTGTCAAAGTGTCAAACGGTTCACATTTGGGACTTGTGTCTGAAAGAGGTTGCTAATTTTAGTCATTTCACAGTTTTAGTTTTATTTCACATGCAATATGATGCTATGTTTGTTTGTTTTTCCAATCTTTCCGGATGCATCCAGAGTGTAACAAATAAACAAATAAACTAATATCAACATTTCTTATAATTAATAGTTTTAAAGATTCAACGTTTGATGATTCTAGTTCTATACGTTTATAATCGCTTTTTAGGGAATATGGGATAACGTAATCGTCAAGAAGAACAGTTTGGCTTCATCTGCTGTGATTGCTTGCAATCTTCTTCTCGTCGATGAAGTTATGCGTGCTGGCATGACTAATCTGAAGACAAATCAGCAAGAGTAAGCATTCAGACACTGGGATCACACCTGTTCTTGTCCTTTTCTTCGAATGTTTTTGCGCTGTTGTAGACAACCCGACGTTAATAAGATCTATGCATGATATGAATGTTGATGGGAAACTTTGGTTTCCCTTACTCAGTTTTAATTCTTCCAAAATCTCAGTCTTTGTTAAATTTGTTTTGTTGTGTTTGCTGCCAATAAATCTTCTGCTTGTCTTCTTGGTGTTTCTATTTCTACTTGGGTACCGTCCAGCTCATTTATCACTTGACTGCTTTTACCTATGCTAGATAGATAAGATTACAAACGTGTGTAACTTACGTATTCA